TGGGTATTTTTCAAACAAAGGAAGTGCATGGTTATGATAAGGAAGAATGCCTCTTCCAAAATTGTGAAATTCATGGCCCCTGGGTCAGGGGTTCTGGTGGGGGGGGGGGGGGAGGGAGCTCTATTGATTATATAGTGAAAATGCATAATTTCTTTCCAAATATTTTTTTCTACGACTGGTTATAAAGTAAAGAAACAAGTGTATAGTTATGATGAGAAAGGGTGCTTCTTCCAGAATTGTGAGTTCGTGGCCAATGGGTCAGATGTTCTGGTGTAAGGATGGGGCTTTATTTATTTAATAATATGGTGAAAATGCATTTCTTTGAAAATCTTTTATGCTTCTGGGGATGTTCAAGGCAAACAGAGTAAAACTTTAAACATGCAAGGGTATTTTTACCAGAATTTTGAACACCTGTACCATTTAGTCAAGTGTTCTGGTCCTGGCCAGGGCTCTATTAACTTGTATTCTGCTGAGCAAAGTTATTCCCCTTTGCCATTCACCTCTGATAATTAATCAATGTAAATAACGTATTTGAAAGCTTAATAGAATAAGAGAATTATGCAAGACAATTTATTGTATAATAAAAAAAGTACTTTCATAGTTTTAATGACTTGGAAATAATAGATGAATAAAAATGAGACAAAAATAACTTATCTTTTTAAATGTTCTTCAAAGGCCAGGAGAGGCCATTGTGAGAAGTAATAATATGGGATTAAATAATAGACATTTTTTTAATAGTCTGCATGGCAGATAGATACTACACCAATTATTTTGTTGATGCTAATCAGACAATTTTTCTTGCTTTTGGGCAACAAAGCTTCATTTATCAGTTTATGGATCCTCTAAATTGTTGTATTGTACTCAGGTGACCGTTAAGGCCCTTGGGCCTCTTGTTGTGATAAACCGTACTTAGATATTTAAGGATTTTTTTCTCTAATGTTAATTATGTTTACTGCTAATTATGGTCAAGATATTTTTAAAATCAATAGATCAAAAATAGATATTTTTACAAATAAATAAATAAACAATTCTCAATGTTTACATAAATATTTAGTCGGCGAATGTACATGTACACGACATGATTGTCGGGGTTTCGTTCATCAGTGTTTATCTCTGGAGCTTACTTTAAATTTTTTTTTTTATAATTTCTGCAAATAAATGATTTGTAAAATAATTGTTAACTTTAGAGATTCACAAATGGAAACATGGATATAACTTATAATTTAATTCATTTTCATGCCATTTTTTTTTCTCAAACTTAACCTTTAATTTCTGCATATTATGAAATCCAATTCAATCAAAACTCACGGTCCACATACATGTACATCTTCTGATAGAACGAAGAAAAAATCAGTTTTCTTAAGTCGGAGATTTACGTAAATAATTATTTGTAATCTAAAAAAATTAATCAGTCTTGAATGTATTTATTTCCAGAAATATCCATTTTTTTTTTTCAAAGTCGATGAAATAAAAATAATATCAATAATTATTTGAAATCCAAAATAAGTATTAAGGCTTATTTCGTTTTGAAAATATCAATTCCTAAAGAATTTGAACTATTTTGCGTGAAAAATCGTGCGTTTGCGTTAGCAATCGTGTAAGATCGTTTAACGTGAAGAATCGTGTGCGTGAAGGATCGTTCGTGTAACAGATTTTATCGTGCGTTAATCGCGCAGAATCGTTCGTGTAATGTGATCGTTCGTGTAAGTTGTCAACAATAACGTTGCAGCCACTGTATAAGACTGAAGAGGAATTACTCAGTGCGTATATGTCAGAGGGATATTCTTACGATATAATACTGATGTTTCTGACCATATATCATGGTTTTGAATGGAGTTTAAGGACTCTTAAAAGAAGACTTAAATCATTTAACTTGTTTCGGAGAAAAAACCCAACTCCTCTAGGAACTGTAGAAGAAAAAATTAGATTAGAGTTAAGTGGACCCTGCGGAAATGTAGGCTACAGAGAAATGTGGAAACTGTTGAAGTCTAAATATCAGTTGTGTGTCTCTAAGTATACAGTGATGCGGGTATTACAAAGACTGAATCCCGAGGGAAGTGTAAGAAGAATCAGATGCCGTCTTCAAAGGCGTGTCTTTGTAAGTAATGGCCCCAATTTTACATGGCATATTGATGGCTTTGACAAGTTAAAACCATATGGTTTTGCCATTCACGGTGCAATTGACGGATTTTCAAGACGAGTTCTTTGGTTAGAGGTGGCTGCATCTAACAGCGACCCGGCTGTAATAGGAGAATATTTTCTTAATTGTGTCGAACAATTGCAAGGATTTCCTAGAAATGTCCGAACAGACCCAGGCACTGAAAATGGTATTCTAGCTACAATTCAGACAATATTCACCTTCTAGTCATTCCTATGTAACGTCTGTAAGAAATCAAAGAATAGAAGCTTGGTGGAGTTATTTTAAAAGGAACAGAGCACAGTGGTGGATAGACTATTTTTCGGACATCTATGACTTTGGGATCTATAATCCAGATAATAAATTTCAGCGTTCATGTTTTCAATACTGTTTCATGGACTTTATCCAAAGGCAGTTGAATGAAACTGCAATGGCATGGAATTGTCACAGAATAAGACCAAATACTGGGTCTTGTCCCGCTGGAATTCCGAACGAAATTTGTTTTCTACCAGAACTTTATTCTAAATGTGACTTTAAAAGGCCCGTCTCAGCACAGGAAATCGAACATTTCCGACAAAACACGAAATCTAAGTCTATCTGTGACGATTCCGAAATTTACGAATATCCTAACCTAGTAAAATCGAGGTTTCATTGGAGAACTGCAATTGATGTTGAAAGCGCATTACAGAATTACCTCGAGTTAATGCACATATCTGGCGAGTAATACCTACATTTACAGTACCTACTGAAAAGGACTTTAAAGATATTCATATTTGCAATATTAATGTCCAAAGAAGTAACATATAAAGTAACAAAAGTAAAATCAATGAATGCGAATTAACATGGCTTTATTTGTCATTAACATGTATTTGATAATGGCATAAACACACACAAATGCACCCTCTCTCTCGCACATATTCCGCTGAATGATATAGCGATTTCATATAAAGTATTTTTCCCAGTTTTTGTATATCAAATGAGCTTCAAACATTTATACAGAAATGTAAATAATATAGTTATGTATCAAATTCATGTGAAGCAATGTTCATCTTTTTGAAGTAATAAGATAGCAATTCAGTCAATTTACATGTACGTAAGCCCTAATTAACAAAGACCATAAAATGAGGACAGATTAAGTCAAAGAATAGAATTTGATTAGCTTGATTTATCTAACAAGTATGTTTAAAAGATGCAATTTTGTTTAATATTCAAAAACAAACCAATGAAAAATAAATCAGAATTATTTTATAAGTAAAAAAAATTAATTTGAAATTTAGGCATGTCTGTTCTCATGTTATGATCTTTTGGCCAAAGACCAGGTAATTTAACTATGCCCGACCAAAATTTGGGGCATTTGAAATTCCGAATTCCATATTTTCCTTGAACATTTCAAAGGACGAATGAATTGGAATTTTCAATTCATTCCCACAGGTATTAGCAATTCGGAATTTTCCTCCCCCCTCCTCTTCGTGTAGGAACGATAGAACAGGAGAAGGACTGAGTCCAAGTGACGGCACTCTGTTCGTTCCAGTGGCAAAAATCAGCAGATGCTTTAAAGTCACCACAGTGGCCCCCTCTGTTAAAACAAATTATATTTAATCTTTAAACAATATGCAGTATGATATTTTTATACTCGAAAACAAAAAAAATGGTTTCGTTATAATTTTTTATGGAATAATTGGAAATAACCATTAAATACGTCTAAAACTTCTCTCTATAGAAAGTAATTTTCATAGAAAAATTAAACAAAGGCCAATACCCTCTGCATCTTGTAAGTAGTCCCTCCAATACCCAATCAATCTATCCTCTACTGTTTTCCGGTTACTTCCGACCGCACTAACATCTGGACGAAATATGTCCTCTATCAAAATCGCTGTGAGTTTGGTGTCGCTAAACATAAGACAACCTCTGAAACTCTCTGGATATGATTGAATGGTGGCCAGAACAGCGAGGCTTTGTAAACCTGCCTTAAATCTAAACACAAAATTTTAAAAAAGAGACTTTATACAATTACCTGAAAATGAATCGGAAACATCAAAGATTAATTACAAGTAGATTAATGTTTAATTTTGTCGTTGGAATGTTATTATAATAATTACATTAATATAATCTAGATTTATTTTAAATTAAACGAGAGGTACTGTGAGCACCGAGATCACTAAATGATACATCCGCCTCCCGTATGATTATAATGGCAAAGTTCATGTTTTGCTCTTGGAGACCCGAAATAAGTTTTGGATCAAAAATTAAAATAGAAGGTGCACGATGGCATTATGTAATAAAGAATCTGTGACAGTATCATTACATTTTATTCAGCGGTATAGGAGGAGTTGCGGATAAAAGATAGGAACCCTTCAATATTATAGAAAAAAAATGGCAGTGTCCATGTTTTGCTACGGGAAACCCGAAATACGCGTCCGATCAAAAAATAAAATAGGTGATGCACAATGGCATTATGTAACAAAGATTTTGCGAAAGTCTCATTAAATTTCATTCAGTGGTATAAGAGGATTTGCGGATAAGAAATGGGTACCCCAAAGCGTAACAGATGGACGTACAGACGGACGGACATTCCGATTACTATATACCCCTTTTCAAGCGGGGGTATAAAAAGAATACCTTTCGTATGCCGTGCGTGCCCTCTCTAGACAGTACCATCTTGTCATATCTCTTACTATTGGTACTTTGTCCTCCAGCGATCTCGCATAATGGAAGCAACCTGCTAAAGTCAAAGTGCTGCTTTTGGCCTCCATTGTACTTTTGCATTATCTGAGGAATCGTCATAAATGAATGAGAAAATTGTTATAACTCAAGATAGCATTAAACGTATTTATATAAAGAAAAAATTAAAGGTATTATTTTACTATGAAATGATAAATGCATTAAATTGTATGAAAGTAAATACTGAGTTGAGTGATTGTTTGAATTCAGATTCGGGGATATCGTCAATCGTGGGATGTACATTTTCCGGACCAAAAACCAACATATCGAACAAAATTTTGAAAAAAAACATTGGAGGTGGACCTCCATGTACTAGATCAACGGCAACCATAACACCAGCCAGATAGTATTCATCCCGTTGTATAGCTAGTGAAGAGACATTTCATTATATTAATGTTAGTACATGAACGTTATTTTTATTTAATTAAATTGTTCTGTGAATATTTTCATGATCACTCTTACCATGGCTATTCAAGGTAAGAATCCTGGACGTCGTTGGACCTTCAAACAAAGTACTGTTCTGTAGTGCATCCATTAAAAGACGGAGAAACTCGCGTCTTGGTCCGCCTTGGTCTACCGCCTCCTCCGACAATCCAGTATCGTCAGTAAATTTAACAAGCAAGATGTTGTTTGGAGCAAATGTGGACCTTTTGAAGCCTCTACAAGCCCCGTCCCACACATTTCTTCTGTTTATGTTAAATCGGGAGATGGTATTTGATTGTATTTGCAGAGAAAGTTCTTGGAGAATTTCCACAGTTGATCTCGATGGTTGAGAACTGAAATAAGGCCCTTTAGTTATAAATTCATGACATTCCAAGCTCTACTAAAGTGTATTTTTGGGTGTCTGAGTACTTCAAATTATAGAATCAAATATCAAAATACTCACCTGCAAGCCATATTCACTGTTTGCGTATTTTTTGTCTCAGACGGACTTAGTGGATTGAGATCGTCCTCCTCATCTTAACCATCTGATATAATGGTTATATACTCACTTAAAATGTGAAAAGAAATCACGTTATTTTTAAATTCTTTAAACTAAACAGTCGTTTAAACAGAACTTAGTCATCATATGTTTTTTTTTCTTCCGGAGATAGAGTTTCTTTTGTTGCTTTTACATATGCCTAGAAATTGTCATGTACAAACGTTTTATTGCAGTACAGTCAAATCCATCAAGTTAATGTAAAATTATGGAAAATTTGCTCATTGGGAATACTGGAACCCACTAAGCCCCACCTACCCCACACTAATTTTATGTTACTGTAAGGTACTAGTTGTTTATAAACACCTGTAGGTTGAGGGTTGCTCCATTTTGTCGTTTTCTTGTTTTGTTGCTCTTGTTTTTGGATCAAGTGCTCGATTCTCTGGGTTTGGTGCTGGATTTTCTGTATCTAAATTTCGGGGTCTCTCTTTCATGTCCGCGATTTCTTGATTTTTTAGTTGGCCTTTTACGTTTTAGTATTTCAGGTGTTTCGAGCTCCTCCCATGAATCGTCACATACCTTCAACCGAAAATATATATACATACGTATAAGAATATAAACAAAATAAAAATGAAAATAAATACCGGTAAGTATAATGTACTGTAGTTCTTACTTCATTCTTGTTATTCGGTTTCGGATCTGGAAGATCATTAGAATCGCTGCTGTTTGATACATCTGGAGAATATGATAATGCTTTTAATGACATTAATGATTCTATAACAGGAATAAAAAGTGACTCTGAATGAAAATACAGACCATCCTAGCTCGAAATTACTTACTTGATTCAAATTCTGTTTTAGGGCATATGTACAACTGGATATTCTGGAATGGCTTCCCTAGAAAATCTTTATATCCTCTAACTGTAAAAACATTTGTAGTTCCCGGTATAGTGTTTGCCCTGGATCCATCTTTATATAAGAGAATGTATTCGTCTGTCGGGAGCATTTTGTTGTTTTTATGGTGTTTATCTGTTGCAAGCTTCAGGACTTCAGTTTCTGTATTGTTCGGGTAGACTTCTATTGGTAGTAGACTTGCCCGTTGATATTTCAGTGTGCAAATGGTGAGTCTCATCACTTCGACATTTATCTATGAAATATATATATAAAAAAATTCGGCTATTTAAAAATGCGCCAATGGATTTAAATAAAAAGATAAATGAACCCAATCAACTGACCAGTGAGCATACAAACATCGTTTTTGAAAGTTGGGGGAGCGGCCGGCAACCAGAAAAAAAATATCGACTTACCTGGGGGGATTTCAATAAATATTTCCAATATAACAAGTGATGTTTGGAAAAAAGTGGTGGGGGAGAGTTCCCCATTGCCCCTCCCTCCCTCCCCCCCCCCCCGTTGCTACATGCCTGAATATATAGTTCATTTTTAGATAGTATCAACGGTCAGAAAAGTTATGATGTGTAGATGTATAAGATCATTGGCCTTGTCATGATTTGTATTTTGATCTTATGAGGATATTTTTTAATTTCTAAATTTTAAAATTATTTGTGCATATATAATTTTAGAAAGTGTACCTTTACGTATTTGGTCGCCTGCGTGGCGCAGTGGTTAGAGCGTTCGCTCGCGGAGTAAGGAGTTGATCCTTACGTCGCGGGTTCGAATCCCACTGTGGGACGTGGAGACCGGTACTTCGGATGAGACCGTATAAACCGAGGTCCCGTGTCGCAGTAGGTGGTGGCACGAAAAAGATCCCTCACTGCTCAATGGCCCTGAGTGCCGAGTATAGGTCAAAATTTGCAGCTTTCCACCGGCAAGTGGTGGCGTCTCCATATGAGTGAAAAATTCTCGAGAGGGACGTTAAACAATAAACAAACAAACATTTTACGTATTTGTTAAGTTACATGTTCTGCAGTTTTCACGCATTTCGCAGGGCCCATTAAATCAAAATTAAATCATTTTGTGTCTTAATATATTATATCATAAGAAATTGGTGCATTTGCAATGAAATTCAAACAGAAGTACGGGAAAAAATACGGGAAGGAGGGAAGATCTTTTACCGTTGTGAAACGAGCTCTTAAGATACAGGTACAAAATATAAATTACAGGGTGTCTAGTTCAGTCTAACCGCATGAGAAGTAAACAATGTATTTATACTACTTGCTCACTTACAGTAGTTCAAAATAAGGATTAGAGTTTTGTATGGAATAGAGACATAGCGAGACTTCTAAATCTCAGAGAAAAAACTCGGTCTGAACAACATTCGAACGCTTAATGAAGCGGCGGATCCAGGGGAATAAATCGGGTGTTCTCAGTCAAAAGAAATCCTGTCGTTTGAGAAATATAGCAGTTATACAGAGCTTACTGAGCCTAAATTGCAATATTTACTCTATTTGACAATGGATATGATTTTGGTATTAAAGATAATTCCTACACATCAGTCAAAAAAATTAAAGTCATTGGAAGTGTTCCCAAGAACACTAGAAAATTATATTGGGTGTTGAAGAAATGGATAATGATTCATGATGATTTAAGAATTTCTATAAACAACATTATTTACCGTTAATTTTCACCCTGAGGGGTTTGTAAAAATAATTATTTCGGAAAAAAGCCTTGAGGTTTTAACAGTATAAAAAATGTTTATATTTTACTTTAACTCGCATTGGTTTCTTGCTCTTTCGTAAGGTGAAGGTCTCCCTCCTCTCTGCTTCCTTCTCTTTCCGAAATTTCTTGAAGTCTCTGAAGAAAGGCAAAGCTCTTGTCGAGAAACTTGCATCTAAAAAAAAGATCAACTGTTTAAGTACTGATAATCATTATATAGAAGATTTGTATTATATACATGTACTTTTGACATCCCGCCGAAATTTATTAAATTTCTCACATCCTGTTGTCAGACAGGAACTAGATTTAGTCAAGGCTTATTGGAAGAGTCGACTTTATTAATAAAAGTATAATTAATGGAGTGTTTCACACCCAGTCAAGACGAGAGCATTGGACGGCAAACCAATATTAATCATAATATCATTATTATCATCACATTATACCGCATATTACATAATCAACATCCATTCTTAAATGCATCATTCATGTCCCGCAAAGCAGCAGGGATAAACACTTTTTGAATACACTTATCAGATTTACTTATTTGCGGACATATTAAATTCATTTTTTGAAGAAATATGGAAATGTAACAAATTTATCTTTTAAACATTTAATAACGATGAAAACTATTAATCTATTCATAGCCTTTGTTGTAACATTTTTAAAGCACGGCTATATCTTTGCTTACGAACAGAAGTATCTTCCAGAAGGTACAAGACACCCCCCCCCCGCCCAAAAAATACCAAATGAAGATAACAACTTTAGTCATATGAATATAAGTAAAGTAAAAGTTTAAACCTCATAGATTTTGATATACTTTTTTTTGGGGGGGGGGGGGTAAAAAAATTTACTCCTACAAGAGCCTCGGTTATAACTTCCATACACTCCTTATCTGACAGCCGAGTCAAAAATATCTCGTCGTGAACCTCTACACCTGTAGCATGCTGGAGTATAAACAATGTAGACTTTTTAACATCTTATTTTTTTTTATATAAAATTTTGATATTTCCATCCTTTAAGACCAAATACGTAAAAAAAATATATATATCAATCCTAGGCATTCATTTTTTTCAGTAATCTTTTCTAAAAAGAAAATAAACGAAAAGAAATAATATATAGAATAAATTCAAGTCCGATTTTCATTTTCTCTCCATGACATTTGATATAACTTTTCTTGATTCAAATACATAATTTATGTGCTCATGTCAAACTAGCTATTTAGAAACCAAAACCTTTTAGGAGTTGGCCCAATTTGTTTACACTAATCTTCTGCTGCACAACTTGTTTATTGAGAGTAAAGTGTGAAACTGGCCTCCCTGCAGGACACCAGGGTGGTTATGGAATTAAAGAATGAGGTTAACTTTGTGGCATTTCCGTAATATGACTATATATCTTTGTGCTGAACTGAGAGAGAGAGAGAGATTTACATGGCATTGTTTCGTATGAGTGTCGTGCGAGTTAATTGAGAGTTTGCATGAGGATTTGATTTTATGAAACTAAACAAGACTTCAAAAAGTGAGGTCTTTAATGTGAGAAAATTTCAATGTATGAGAGGATGTGAACAAAGGAAGAGATTGAGGGTGTGCAGAACTGACATATAGTGTGAATTGTAGATGTAAATACTTAATATATAAAAACACGCAAAATAATGGCGTATTAGAAACATGCAGGAATCGCCCCGTCATATAAGCCCGTTATTAAAATTCACCGGGTATTATGCAAAACAAATTCATAAACGTGTAAATCTAATTACTAGTAATTCAATGTAAACTAGTAACCTTATAAATGCACAAATTAACGTATTTTGATATAAACTCACCATCTTGTCTTCCTGACGCCAATTTTTCGCCACAAATTGAGCAAAAGATGTCTCTTGGATCTTCTGCACCACAAGATTGACAATTATTCATTTTGTAAGTCTGCGTTCAAACATGAATTGTGATGCTTTGTATTAAGACAAGGAGCCTCTCAGCGGGATGCTGGGGGCATCACTGATGTAATAAAGGTCAGTACAGGTCACGTGGAAAATTTTCTCTTTATATATATCGAGGTTTTGTTTATATATATCGCATTTCTCTTTATATATATCGAGGTTTTGTTAATATATTTTGCATTTCCTATATATATATCGAGGTTTTATTTATATATATCACATTTCCTTTATATATATCTAGGTTTAGATTTTATATTTCGCATTTTCTTTATATATAGAGGTATGCTTTTATATATAGGATTTTCTTTATATATATAAGTTGGCACTAATGGGCTTCCGTACTATTTGGCTGTTAATGCAAATGAAGTCAATTTTCTAAGCATGGTTGTGAAATTTAAATATTGCAACTTGGCAGTAACTCAATAAATCTAGAGAATCTAGAGAAAAGATTTCTTGCCAAACCTTTACTTTATTATACCCCACGCAACAAGTTGCGGGGGGTATAATGTTTTTGACCCTCCGTCGGTCAGTCAGTCAGTCCGGCAGTCCTGTTTTTTTTGTCAGCGCAATTCCTCATAAACCGCTGCACAGAACTTCGTCAAACTTTACAGATATTTAGTACACAATGTGTCAATGTGCATATTACCAGGAAATTCCGATTCCTTTATTTCTTCTGGGAATTTCGGAACTTTTCAACTTAGATTTTTGGCCATATGTTGAATATAGAGATGAACAGTTCGTCAGCGCAACTCCTCATAAACCGCTGCACAGAATTTCGTCAAACTTTGCAGATATTTAGGACATAATGGTTAGATGTGCATATTACCAGGAAATTCCGATTCCTTTATTTTTCTGGGAATTTCGGCACTTTTCAACTTGGATTTTTGGCCATACAGTACCGACCAGACACAACCTAACACCAGAGCGAACCCAAAGCGCACCCCGGGTTCGCTTTCTGGGTTCGCTCGGGGTCCGCTACGGGTCCGCTTTCAGAAATTTTGGGTGCGCTCTGGGTTCGCTTCGGGTTCGC